AGCTTTTGCTCTGCATGAATACCAAACCTAGAATCAACTTTGCAATTATGGCTATCATGTTGAAGAGAACCTGCTGAATAATAGGATTTGCACACAACTGTAAGTATTTTAAACCCTAAACTCAACTACTCACGTGGACAATTATGCAATAGAGATGTCAATCATGTGAGGAGTTGAGTTTAAGGGTTTAAAATGCTTGCAGTTGTGTGCAAATCCTATTTTTCAGCAGGTTTTCTTTAGCATGATAGGCATAATTGCAAATTTGATTCTAGGTTCGGTCTTCATTCAGAGCAAAAACTACCGCTCTTGGTAAATCTTTAAGTGCCAACTCTTGTGTGCTCTGCCTCGAGGATATAGGCTATTGCACGCATCTAACTACTTGGTCCCGAAATGTGAACGTATATTACAACAACTATCCTTATATAAAATTAAAAACAATTCTTCAACAAATGAATACAACTATTATACGTAATGTTCAATCATGCACACCTTATGTTGGAGGGCTTTAAACCCTAAACCCTCAAAAGAAGCTTGCCTTACCAATTCCTAGCTTACCATTTGGACCCTCAAGTTTTACTGGCTATGCTATCAACATGATTAACCTGGATAATCCCAGTTACAGAATTGATTCCGACCATGATTGTTGGAGACTATAGTCCACAGATTGTTTGGCATTTATGTGATGATGCGGATGAAATATTAAACGGTCTCGTAAGCCACAATCAAAATAGACTAAGAGAGTAAATTTTGTTAATGTAAGGTTAATTTTGTATAAGTTACATACGATTTATAATTTTGTATGTGATGTAATTATGTATGAGATGAGAAAAGTTAGCAATTGGTTGTTGTACATGTTTACCCAATAGGAGTCATGTTGATACTTACGATATATGGAGATCGTTGTCATAACGTGCGGGACTGAATGTCCATTCCATTCCGTCTTCGAAAAAATCAGTTGATGTAGGTTGTGTGCTTGTACTCAAACTGAGCTTGACTTGAGGACATGTTAGTTTGTTATGTCCCTCACCGTTGCAGTACTCACATCGCCTAATTTTTTTCTCGACCTTGTTCTTCGGTACTTGTTTTCACTTGTGTTGTTTTCGTTGAGGGTCACGAACGTTGTTTACTAGAATGCTTTGGTTGACTGAATCATTCAAACCAAACGATTTTTCAAATTCTTCTATTAGTTTTTTCATCTCATCTCTTGCGGTTTTGAAAGACGCGTCTGTCTTTGATGCAATGTAGCAAAACCTACTTGACGTTGAACGTAGAGCAGCGAACCTTGCCATTTGCATCACTTCTGGAGACACATTCAAGTCAACATAATTGGGTGTAGAAGCCTTCGCATCCTTAGTCCACCTACTTTGAGTCAAAGTCCCGGGCAAATATGTGTAATCCAAGTGCTTCAAAATGTGACGTTGATGGCGACACAAAAGTCCAACGGTCTCGAATTTTTTGTATGAGCAAATTAGGGTTTTCGTACGAGAATCAAAACTAATTTCAAATGTCCTATTTTTTTCTTTATACTTTGACAAAATATAATGTTGACATTCATCTGATAAAGACTGAATCTCTTCCTCAATCCGGTACAATGTCTCCCGTAGAAGTTCATCTTGGAACGCATGAAAAGATTCGCGGGTAAAAATCTCAGCAACATGGCTTTCAAGGTCGACCAGTTTTGTGATATAGAAGGGCTTCGTATGGGAACTTAAGTAATCCGCTTTCAACTCGTTCATACGCATTCTACTAATTCCATCTTCAATTGCATGAACAACATCTAAATATATCTTCTTGTGTTTCAGTGCAATCGCTAGTGAAGCATTCATAGACTCACACCTTTGTGTTGAGTGAATATTGGCAAAGAAATGACAGGTTAGATATGCTTGTGCCCCATAAGTGTCGAGTATTTCCCTTCTCAATCACCCATGGATGCTTTTCGACGTTGAATTCTGAAACAATCGAACGCAATTGAATATCAAATTCCTCGATTGTCCACCAGGAAGCCATGCATTTTGAGAATGCTGCTGTAAATTTTGGGTCACCAATGTTAGCTTGTGCATTGCGAGAAAGATGCCAAGAACATAATTTGTGCTTAGCATAAGGGATAACAGATTTGATAGCCCTTTGCATTGCCCTATCCCCATCGGTGACAACTGAAATTGGTGATTTATTCATCATGACTTCTAAAAAATTCTGTAGCACCCACTCGAAAGATTTAGACGTCTCATCAGCGATTATGGTAGTGGAAAACACAATTGTGTTATGGTGATGATTGACACCGACAATAGACATAATTGGTCGACCATACAAATTATCTTTGTACGTTGTGTCAAACGCAATTTCATCACCGAAGCATGTGTAATCCGATCTCGATGTAGAATCCGACCAAATAAGATTATGCAATGCCCCTGATTCGTTTACTGAGTATGTCATAAAAAACCCGGGACACCATGTTTCTTATAATTAAAGTAGGTAATAAGCGCATTCACATCCCCATCGACGATTTCCTTTACTTTACCTCTTTGAAGTGCATTGTAGATGTCTTTATGTGTAAATCCAACATTATGATAGCCTCATGCCTGCTGCGTTAAATAGTTCATTACTTGTGACGTGCCAACACCGACCTCTTTCAATGTTGTTGCCTCATCGATATCGACCTTACTTACAGCTCTATTAGAACACATAAATGGTGCATAGCAGGTGTGCACAATGCATGATTATGTTTCTGATAAGACTTACTTATAACCCAGTGATCGTTTGTATTTGTTGTTGTAACTACGACTCTAGCCTTACACCCTGTTCTTGTGACTGGCGTATGAGCACGTTGATGATCAACAATAATGACTTTTGATGCTCGAAACCCTTCTTTGAAACAACAAAATTCTTGTGTCTTCACATTCCCTTCCACGTCAAGCCGTGTTGTTCCCTTACGTGCACTAAACCCATGTTCCCTTACGAATCCCTTGTAAAAGTACCAAGCTTCATCACGTGAAAAGAAGAGCTGACCAACCAATCTGTCAGATTCATCAACATTATGTACTTCATGGCATTCCTCGGTTAGCTTAACATTGTCTGCATCAATATGATCTATGACAAAAATTTTGTTGTGCAAGTTCAGTGGTCCCGGAGTTGATAGAGATGTAAGCAAAGGTTCATTGAACATGTTTCAGTCGTGCTTTCAATAGGATGTGGTATTGGTAGTGGTAGTTAAAGGGTGGGTACAACATTAAATTCGTAGTACATATTTAGGTATGTACAATAACTACCTAAGTATGTGTCGATACATTTTCTACAAGTATCGGCCCAAAAAACATCAAAACCAATAATTATAATGTAATAGGTAAATTAACAATGTAACTGGTATAAATATACCGGTTAATTAGAAAACAGATCAACATAATGTATCGACACTTGTGGAATTTGTGTCGATACTTATTGTCCAGAATGAATGCCCAAACGAGGTGCACGCATAAAGTGTCGATACATTTATTAAAAGTATCGATACATTTATTAAAAGTATCGATACCAAAAACATTGAAATCAATAATTATAATGTAATAGGTAAATTTACAATGTAACTGATATAAATATACCAGTTTTATGAGAAAATAGGTCAGCATAAAGTATCGACAATTGTTAAATTTATGTCGATACATTTTGTCCATAATGAATGCCTAACGAGGTGCAAGAATAAAGTGTCGATACATTTAAAATTGTATTGATCCCAAAAACATCGAAATGAAAATTACAATATAATAGGTAAATTTACAATGTATCCGATATAAATATACCAGTTTTATGAGAAAATAGGTCTAAATAATGTATCGACACATTTTTAGTTTGTGTCGATACTTTTTTCCAGAATGAAATATGAATGCCCAACGAGGTGCAAGCATAAATTGTCGATACATTTAAAATTGTATCTATCCAAAAAACATCGAAACCGATAATTATAATGTAATAGGTAAATTTGCAATGTTACCGGTATAAATATACCGGTTTACTTTGAAAATAGGTCAATATAAGTGCTACCTATTACATTATATAAGAGCTACCTAATATGTTATTGTACTTGATAATATTTCCGGTTAAATGCTTATTTTATTATATAAGCGCTACCTAATATGTTGTTGTACTTGATAATATTTCTGGTTAAATGATATAACATAACCGGTCTAAATTTTAACCGGTCACGCCGTTTTTTAACCGCCGCACAGCAGAACTTCCCCTGAATCATTCATTTAAAGACTAAAGTTAATTATAATCAAAACATATGATTTTAATCTTGAATTATCTTTTAATTTTTTTGTTTCGTTTGTTTTTGGTCGTCTTTGTTTGTCTTAATCTGACGTTATCTTAAGCCAATATTTATTTTTTTATATCGTATCTTTGATTTTTCTTTATTTTGATAGTTTCTAATTACTCTATTCTTATAGCACATCTTCCTTTGTGTTTGTGGTATGTTCTCGATCGTTTAATCGTTCTCTTTGTTTAATTGTCTTTAGGGTTGGATTTGACATTATCTCGATTGATCAAGATGATACTTATTTGTTATTTTATTAATTTTTTTGTTTTGGACCCTCAAATTGAATTTGAGTACGTGGTTTACATTCAAAGATAGTTTTATCACGACATTCGATTCTAATTTGCTATTGTTGATGACCATTTAGTAATTTGATCTCTTGTAGTGACTCGTTTGTTAATGGGTTCATATATGTTTGTATCTATATTTTATTTGAATTTTCTGGATGAATTTTTAACATTTTTCTTGTATGGTCCTTGCATGATCTCAAGTGGTTATTTTTAATCAATTAATAACATACATTCCAACGTTATTTACAAACTAATTTAAAAGAACTTTAACGGTAGATATTTTAAATTGTTTTTCAGCATTTGGGTTCAAGTCTAGGAGCAACAATTTTGATTTTAAAATATCATAATATAATTAAAAAAAGATCTTAAGAATATAAAATTTCAAACAAAAAAATCCAAAAACACGGTGGTGAGCAAACTCAATTCCTCCTTTGCAACCACAATAAATGTGAGCCATTGTGTTTAAACACGTTATTATCCCCCATGAAAACACGACGGAAATGTCTACATTCAAGTAATGCATTCAAACATGAAAACACCTATTGCCTAATGTCTTCCAGCATACAAAACCTGCCAACATTTTCACCCTTCAAGCATAGCTAATGGCTGCCCGGTCTTAAAAACTCGGAATTATTTAGACGGAGTTGCACGTTCACGGAGTGGCCACGTTTTCCTTGGCAAGAGGAGCAATCTCCTCTCCTTCATCGCCAGGTTCGGCACCGGGGACCCCTAGGCTCAACAACAACTTCTCCCACGTCTTTGCTGGTCCCTGCATACATCAACAAAATTTCCATCGTATTCATTCTTCCTAAAACAGCTCTAAATTTGGATACATGCTCAGCAAGGCACTAACCTTCCATGAAAGATCTTGTGCCATACAGTTTTGGATCATTTCCGTCATGGTTTGAGTTCCATATGTTGCAAGAGCTTCCTTGACAGTCTTTGCCACCTTATCCAAGTCTTTTGGATCCACTGCATGCGAAAACATCGATAAGTACGATCAAGTTTGGACATTCCTCTTCACACAAGGAATCGTTTCAACTACTTACCTCAACATTGAATGCTCCCATTTGAAACCCTGTGAATCCTTCCTTCACAGTGTCAACGAGTCCACCGGTCGAGGCAACTATTGGCACCTGTAGCATAGAGATTGCTTATGCAAATTAATGAAGCCAAATCAGTTTGTTGCAGGAAAGAAATGATGAAAAGGATTTACGGTTCCATATCGCATAGCATGCAGCTGGATAAGACCACATGGTTCAAATCTGCTGGGGATCAAGATGAAATCGGCACTGGCAATGATCGTATGGGCCAGTGGGACATTGAATTTGGCTATTCCTCTAGCCTTGCCAGGATACTGAGTCTCTAACTTCATAATCTGTTCTTCCATGGCCTTTTTGCCAGTTCCCTGAAAGGAAGATAGATTCCATTGTTAATACTATACTCATCTAAGCAACAGTAACATACGGCAGAAGATTAAAATTTGATACTAACAAGGATTACAATCTGGCAATTTTCGCTGATGAATTTCGGAATAGCTGCCACCAAAATGTCCGAACCCTTCTGCTCTTCTAGCCTACCGATGAAGCCAATCACCGGAACATCTCTGTCACAGGGCAAACCCATTTCTGCTTGGAGAGTTTCCTTCAGTAAAGGCTTTGCATCCATTACCTGCAATGAAAACGTATTATATAGAACATGGCTTCTACTACTACACAAACAATTGGAAGTTATTGAAGGCACATACAGTTGTTGCATCATATTTGACACTGATGTAGTTGTCAGTGGCAGGGTTCCATTCTTGAACATCCATGCCATTCACAATGCCGGTGATGCCGGTTTTACGGATGATGTTATCGAGTTCGACCCCTTTGTCTTCTCCCGATATAAGCTCCTGGGCATAGTAAGGGCTTACTGTCAAGACCTTATCTGATTCCAGGATTCCAGCCTTCATCCAATTAATTTTCCTTCCCTTGATAGGTTTGGTATACCTGACAATCGGAATAATATCAAACCATAGATTCCAAGCAACAAGGAAACGAAAACAGAAGCATTAATGGTTTCATACCCATCCAAGAAGTCGAACGAACACTTGAACCGATCAGGCAAATTGAGAACCGCGAAATTGGAAAACTGAAATCTTCCCTGATAAGATATGTTGTGGATGCAAAATGCAACCTGCCATGTTTATCAAAACAACAATGTAAGTGCTTCAACATGACCAAACTGGCCCCAAATCTGATTCACTTAAACAAACCTTGGCATTCATGTAGATACCCGTTGACTGGTACATGCTTTTCAAATAACATGGAAGCAGACCAGTGTGCCAATCATTGGCTATAAAGATAACATCTTCCCCTGCAGATGATGAAGCACGTAAAGCCTAAGTTTCACCAAAAAAAATGTGTTAAAACTTTCAAGTTTAAGACCAAAGAGGAACAGTCCATACCATATGGTCCTGAAAAATATTTGTTGCTGTTTAAATTCAGAACCCTGGGTGCCTCCAGAGCAGCCTGGCATAACAAGCTAAACCGCAATTGATTGTCTTTGTAGTCCACACCTGCATTAGGGCCATAGATTTTTGATCCAGTTTTGCCCCATACCTGAATCATCATTTTGGTGTAAGGAAACAGAAGAATAAAAGAGAACATGTTAGGGAAACAGGGTTAACAGAACAGAATACAAACCTTCTCAAGGAACATCGGGTGATCAACAAAGATACGATCAACTCCACGTTTGTAACAGTGGAAGAACCGAACAGTTTCGATTTTCTCGCCGACTTTTAACTGCAAGTTAAGAGCTGATTATTAAGAAATATAATCCAAAGACAGTTCACTTCAATTGAATTCGAACCGAACATAACAGAATTGAAAATCTTACATCGCTTACGACACTGGTGTCCCATGCATCCATGTACTGATCATATCGAGGAGACACTGTCATAACTCGATGTCCATTGGCCTGCTCAATGTTCAGTTAGTATCTAAAATTATACATGCTGCAAATTATAAATGAGTGCGCAAAGCTCTACTTACAGCCATTGCTGGAGGAAGTCCACCAAGGACATCACCGAGTCCACCAGTTTTGCTCCATGGACCACACTCAGCTCCCACAAAGACTAAGTTCATCCCTTTACTGCAAATAATTTTCCCGGCAACCGCCGTGGGGTTTCCCTCCTTCACAGCTTGCCTGACAACAGCCTTTGTTTTGCTTCTCATCTGCAACCTGTCCAGCTTGTTCAAAAACCTCAGGCCATTGTGAGAAATGGCGGCTTTATTCTTCATGCTAATCAAATTGTTGTCTGCCCCATGGCTGGTGACATGAGCACTTCTTGAAACAAAGTGTGAGGCTGTTGTCACTGTTGCCATTGCTGCGATACTTCCAAGAAGCTGAGACCAGAAGAAGAAGAAAGTAATGAACTAAACAAATTTAAAACCCTCCAAGTCCAAAAGAGACGATTGATTCAAAACACATAGGAAAACCCAGAATTATAAGTTGTTTATATGGTATTAAAACGTAACAACAACCTCGAAAATGTCTCGAAAGTCAAAATACTTGAATAATAGAATGATCAAAGAAGCAGAAACGCATGCAATTGGTTCAGTGAATCTCTCAAAATCAGTTAAAAGAAGAAAAATCTCAGGCAAATCTATTAAAAAATACATTCGATTTAATTATATAGGATGTGATATATTAATATACTTCTACAAATAAGATAGATTTTTATAATTAAATATCATTTATTTAAGGGTAATAATATCATTTTACATTTATTGCTTATATATATCTTTAAATCTCATTTTATTTAACTAAATAATCTCATAACATTACTTCTTTGTTTCAGTCATCCAGTTACTCTGTAATATTTATTATCTTCTATTCTATTTGTACCAAATAGACATTCTATGAATGCTCTGTCTCATTCTAATAAACCAAATATACCGTGTATATATTATATATACTCAATTTGCACGAATCAAATTAACGTTGTGATTAAACCAAATATACCGTGTATATATTATATACTTAATTTGCACAAATCAAATTACCACGGTGATTAAAGAGATAGTTATTATCCTTACAAATCTTAAATTCGAACACCAAAGACAGCAAAAATATTTAAACTTTCATTATCAAATGATTAAAAATCTTTAGAATAAATATAAATAATAATTACTTTATATTAATTAATATATATATATATATATATACTCAATTTAAAATATGTATTTATCATTTTAAAATATTTGACAATATAAGAAGTTTGCAAGATCATTTATGAAGTAATTCAAAAGTGTGATGATAAATTTTGATGATTTTTTTTTCAGATATGATAAATATATATAACAAAATCATTTAATATTACTTTTTTAATCTCTAAAACATACTTTCATATTAGATATCGTAAATATAATGTGGGGAGTTAAAAGTTGATGGTGAATTGTTAAGAGTGCATTTCAATTCACACAACACTAGAAATGTAATCTCTTGTCCGTAAAACTTTCATGATTTTATATTATTAACAAAATTCGTATATAGATATAAAAAAGAAAATATTATTTACCTAAATATGCTCAGTATAACATGACAATAGTAATAGAAAATTACATAAAAATCAATAACCCTCAAGTATTTGGAAATCATAATTTCACCATCACGATCAATCACGAAAACGACGGGAAATTATAAAACAAAACAGGAAAAACGGCACTCTAATATCCCACCTTATATTAGAAATCATAACAATTAAATTTAGAAGGTAGTATCAAATTTGGGTTAAGCTCGGCTTTTCAATGCACAAAAAGGAAGAAAATTGTATTTCTTAGAATCTCTCTTTTATCTATGAGCTGTGACCAACGTCTCTATGAACTTTAACCCATCAAATTGTGGCGCGAATTTCTCCCTTCTTGACGCCGTACAATTCTTTGACGCTCCGTTCTGTGATTCCTAAACAATCATAGTTCAATGTCAAGATCAAGAATTATAAATTATAACATTAGCTTTTTAATCAACAAATTTTATTGATCCAGTCAATAAATCTAGATCAAGAAAGCAAGATACTGAAACTAATAGAATTAAGTAGTCAAAATCTCACAGCAAATTAAATAAAATGAAAGAAAAAGCACTCATCAGACATTGGAAAGGGGAGAATCAGCAAACCAATACGAAGAAAATGATGAAGCATTGGGGAAAAAAAAGTAAAAGAAAAAAAACCTTGTTGGAGAAGATCGGAGAAAGAGAAACATGTTGGACTCCGGTGGATGAAGATGAAGTGAGAACCACCGTGGAAGCAGCGAGCACAGTCGCAACAAGAGGTCCAGGACCCTTCATTTTCTCGAATCCTTTCTATTTCAGCGAACAAGACTCAGATCGAGAGTGATTAGCTCCCCTTCTTTTTCTTTTCTTTCCTTGCATAAATTCATACCCACTTTCTTTAAAGATGGAGCCCTTATATTTTGTCCGAGTACGCCACAACTTCCCAGGTCCTTGAGTTAACGGGATTTAATTTCACTCTCAGGTCCGATTTTATTTTCCCATGAAAAAATTGCGTAGCTTTCACTGCCACGTCGAGTATACAGTACCCTCAAATATTTGTCAGCTTGGCATGAGAAAAGTGACGGCTGCAGTTGATTTTTAAATAATTAAAATTTATTTAAATTGGGAATGTGCATTGATAGTCGAGAAAGGTACTGGAATGAGAATATAATCTAGAGAGAGAAGCACTGAGCAGAGCAGGGTGGTGAATTTTGAAATATCGGTGGTTGTTGTTTGCCTAAACTCGATGTCGTTCGAGTCTGACTCACTCAGTTCATCGCTCTTTCTCTCTCTATTTACCCAGTGCTCCGTGCACAGTGCACGCTCGTTCCCATAATAATCTCCTTGTATTGTCGTCTAAGTCAAAAAGTACTGCCTTTAATTATTCCTAGTTCCCAACAACTGAGTCGCACCTTGCAAATAGCAATTGTGACGGTCGTCGCAGCCTGAGAATGTCTCAAGAACGACGGGTTAATATACGGTTAATATACGTTATTATCGGATATATTAAAAAATATTTAATAAATTTGGTTTAACATTACCGAAAACATTGACTAATAATAATGTAGTAGGTCTAAGTCATGAAGAAATATTAAAAAATTGTTCAACCGGTAAACTTAACTTATCGGTTCGTGTCGATCCAAATTAAAAATGTATCGATCCACAACGATATAACAGGTAAAACTATGACAAAACCAGTATTGAAATGATAAAACCGGTAAAGCGGTACCGAATATATTTAAAGTGTCGGTACTTTAATATAAGGATCGACACTTCGTTAATTTAAAAGAGAAGTAGTTTTAGCGCCTATAAAGTGTCGATACTTTCAAAAAATATATCGATCAACAACGATATAACATGTAAAAATATGATAAAACTGGTATCAAAATGATGAAACCGGTAAAACGCTACCGGATATATTGAAAGTGTCGAAACTTTATATAAGGATCGACACTTTGTGAATTTAAAAGAGAAGCAGTTTTAGCGCCTATAAAATGTCGATACTTTAAAAAAAATGTATCGATCAAACAACGATATAGCAGGTAAAAATATGATAAAACCAGTATCAAAATGATAAAACCGGTAAAATGATACCAGATATATTAAAAGTGTCGATACTTTCGTAAGTACGTGTAATAAATTATCGATACTTTCAAAGAAATACGTAATTATCCTTTCGAAAGTATCGACACCTGACATAAAAGTATTGACACTTTTGTATTTGTATCGATTAAATATAAATAACATATCCGATGAAAATATAAAGGTCATAGCTAAATATCATCTGAAATTAGATAGAACGGATGAATTTTTGAAATCGAAGCGTAATTGTTGCTGCATTTCAGAAGACGTTTCTAAAGCGAAGTTTGTTTGTTTGTTGTTGCAGTCGAATCGAAAAGTATGTTGTCGAAACCCTAATTTTTTATTATTACAGTAATCGCGATAGAGTTTTTATGTGTTGTTTGGGTTTTGGAGTAAAGAAGCATTTGAGACCGATTGCAGGTAGAAAGTGATATTCAAGAAAAAATATAAATGTCGATACTTTTATTAAATATTATACGTAGCAAATGATATTATAGGTTGTATAAATGTGCCGACACATTTTGTAGTGGCCATTCAAATTCTTTTGAAGAAAACTGTTTTACCACAAGAGTAGTTATCTATATTTGTATATTAAATAAAGTGTATGTAACAAAATAATTTGATTTGCGTAAACTGATATATAAAAGCTAGGAAAAATGGAGTCAATGAGTTGGAAAATTGTTGGTGGCGCATATGACTTTGAAATTGAGGTCGAGACTCGAAAGCAACCAAAGGGTGGATATATGTACTTCTAGTAAGTATCAATGTCTCTTTGTTATTATTGTTGAAATGGTAATTGGATTAAAGTATCGATAAACTTTAAATTGATTACAAATTTTAAATGCTGACAGTATGGCCGAATGCAAAAGGATGAAGGAAGATGACACACAGAGCGGTTCAGTATGTAAAATGAAATTGACATTGAGTATTATTTAGTGTTAATGTATTGATTAAGAAACGTTTATGTTTAATATTAGGTGACAAAAGATGTGAGGTCCAAATGGAATTCGATGAGTGATGCTGAAAAGGAACCTTACATCACACAGTCAATGAATGATAGTAAAGAATACAAAGAACGGAGGAAAGCACATGAAAATAAGGTATTCATTAAACTTGTAAATACGTTGATACAAAATATATAAGAACTATAACATTATATATTGTTCAAAAATGTAGGAAGTGTCGACATGATGCAGCATTAAAAGGGTGAATTCATTAATTAAACACCTTAAGGAGAAGGGTCAGTTGAATGTGCTGGGAGAAATAGGTTTTGGATCGTTGGTAGGAGTAAGGGATCGACCTATTCGGAGGGAATTGTGTCGATCCTTGATGGCGTAATTTGATGTCAGACAATGTATTGCTAAGTATGGTGATTTTTCATTTCCTCTCGGGATCCCATGTGCTACAGCCGTATTGGGGGTAGAAAATGAAGGCAAAAGTGTTGTAGAAGTCTGTAAGAGTAAGGACTGGAAAGCACTTGCCTCCAAATATGGTTTGAAACAGAAAGTGACATATGCTGAAATTGAAGAGGAAATAAAAAGTGGATCTTACGGGGGGGATGAGCTGAAGGCCAGAGTTCTATTATACCTTGTCGGTATCTTTCTTTGTCCAACGGGTGATACGTCAACGAACAAGGAATATATGAAGCTCATTTGCGATGAAGGCTTGAAGGGTGAATTCAATTGGGCTGAATATATCCATTCGAGATTGATTGAATAAATAATCACCTTTAAAAAGGGCAGCCAGAGATACCTCAAAGGGTGCATAGCAATCTTAGAGGTAAATGAGTTGAATAACTTTTTTGTGTTTTTATATAAAATGATAGTATAGTTATTATAT